AACCGGGGATTGAACTCAGGCCTTTGCACTTGCCGGGGAAGCGCTTATTCTATTGAGCCATCTCCCTGGCCCACAGTGAGGGTACTTTGGTAAGAGACATAAAGTAGGACTGGGGCAGCTCCTTCATGGAAAGATGTAGTTTTGCCCATGGCCAGGACCCAGTCATGGGTCCTGGCCAGGGACAAGAATGCGTGAAGCTCATGCACCTACCCACAGGCTGGCCTCATGGAGGGCTGGGCTGTGCCTGGTTTACCCTGCGTGATTAGCGCCATTGTCAGCTGAATGAACAGACATGCCCCTGCCAGGGTTGTACAAGCCCCCTGAGATGCAAAGCCTTACCCTTCTCTCCTGTGTCTCCCTTTTGGCCAACTGCTCCAGGTGCTCCTCGGAGGCCAGCCTGCCCAGGAGTTCCCCTTTCTCCCTTTTGTCCCACAGATCCTGAAAGGAGAGAGAAGCCACTCTCATAGATATCCTCTTCTGCCTCCCCGAGGGGGTCCCAAGGGATTTGCTACCTAACAAATGAATAATCCCTAATTGCCAGCTTCCCCCATGCATGGGCTGTGTTCACATTCAGCCAGCATCTTGGGGTGCGCTGGGGCTGTTTCACCCCCTGACTCCCACAGCGATACTGCTAAGAACATGCGAATGAAAATGGTGAGTAGAATTCCAGAGATTGTGGGTCCTCAGCTGATTACACAATTGTGTGGAAGTTTGAGCCATTCTAGAATTTGCTAGAATATTTTTAGGCCTCTGTGTCTCCTTCAGTGAATTAGACAGCAAAAGACTGTGAAGTTCATGGGAATAAAAATTGTTCCAGAAATTCATCTGAGAAGTTTTGCTTTCATATATGTTATGGTTTGGATTTGGTGGAGTGTGTCCCCCAATGGTTCCTGTCCTCACTGTGGTGATAATAAGAGGAATTTTGGGGAGAGGAGTCAGCAGGAAGTCCTTAGGCTAATGGGAGGGGGATTTTCTTCAGAAGGGATCATGGTACCCCAGCTTCTTTGGCTCCCTGTCTGGCTAGCTCCATGGTGCTTACATAGCCTCAAGCCCCACCTGCACCGTCAGCTCTACTGACATTTTTATCCTTTGCCATACTCAGCCCTTGTCCCCCTACCCACCCCCCAAACTCTTGAGCTTTCAGGATCCTACTGTGCTCTTTGATTTCCAGTGAGCAACAGAGGTTTGGATGACAGAAACTCAGAATCCCAGCTTCAGCTTTGGGGAGAAGGTCGCAGCTGCATGTTCAAAGTCAACTAGACTCCACTTCCAGCTGCACAAGCCTCTCCAGTCATCATTCTGAGAAATTAAAATGAAGCCAGCCCTTTACCTGGGACTCCTGATTCTCCTTTTGCTCCCTTTTGTCCTTGAATTCCTAAAATCAAAACAAAGAAAAGAAGAGAAGATAATAAAACTTGGATATTAGACACTTTTAATCTTCGACACCCTCTACCTTTTGCCTGATTAATGCAGATGGAAAGATGCATTGGTTCTCCACAATTGTTTCAAGTCTTTTCCGGCAGAGCATAAGAGGAGACAGGCTGCAGATAAATGGAGACGGGCACATTGGAGTGGAGCAGTGGCCTGCTGGTGCGGCCTGGGGTAGGCCAGCCCCAACCGCACTCACTGACTGCCCCTGTTCACCAGCAACCTGCCACTGTGTCTAAATCCAATCCGATTGCTCACTGTTGCATTGTATCTAGAGATATTTACTAAAGAAAAATGAGAAATATTTCAGAAATAATGTATCTTGATTTTGCAAAAGACTTTGGAGTGGCCTTGGTGGCCATTAGGAGCTTTGGAGGACCCACATGCATAGTAGATGCTAT